ATGCCAGGAAGGCGGCGCTCTTGCTGGAACCTCGGCACAGAATGGCTCTGTGGAGACGCGAGCGCCCCAAAGATTGGAGTCTGCAAGAGCTTCGCAGCGCAGTCCATAGCTTACTCTATTTGCAGCTGCTTGCCATCCATGTGCCTTGTTCGTCACCGTGCTTGTTTTCCACCGACCGCGAGTCTTTGACCGGCCTCTGCGCTCTACGCGTGGGCCGGCCGGGCAGCGCGGCTACTATGTCGGGATTGCCCACGCTTTTCGTAAGAAGCGGGCTGAAACCAATGGCATCGCACAGCGTTGGTTGGGGCATTTGACGCTGACAGCGCGCAAGCGCCCTAAAGAAAGCAATGGGGTTCGCTACATGCTCATGCGCCGGACTCATTTTCACTGCGCGCATTTCTTTGTCGCGCGGGCGGGCCCCGAGCCTACCATCCGTGCAATGGAGCGTCTGGAGATTGTCAGCCGCCGGCCGCTCGCTAATGGCCCACGCGGACGGCAGAGCCAGGCGGTGTAATTGCCCCTCCGGTCCCGGTCCCGGCCCCCCAAGCATGCACGAGAAGTGTCGGGGCACGGGCCGTTTGACGCGGGCCTAGGGTTGGCCCCGCGCGTTGGCCGCCCAGTCGGCACTCCGCCCGCCTCCAACCCTAGGTCATTTCACGAGTTGTATTGCGAAGCCCTGCGCGCAACGCTTGCTCTGCATGGCGTTTGCGGGCCGATCGATATTTTTGCTGCGTGCCACATTGCGCTCCTGGCATGCTGGTTGGGGAGTACGCGCGCGCGCGTGCCATGGCGGCCCCTCGAGCGCAGATGGGGGGTCGAGAACGGCTCGGTCGCCTTAGCCTCGCACCTGCACCTCGTCCCCGGCGCCGGTAAGAAGTCGGTGGCCACGCGCAGGATTAACAGCGCGCTTGCCACCCGATTCCTTCCGCCAGTTTCGGGCACCACGTGTCGTGCTCCTATTCCCCACGCTGTCCCCGCAATCCGCCGTGCACTTAACTCCATAGTGCGCGACGCCGCGGGGCTGTGGACGAAATGCGAGCAGGATTGGTTGCTCTCACACATTCGTATCGTAGCGCGTTCACCGAAGAAGCATCGTGACTGTTGGAATGCGCCTGCTGTAAGCAATAACATGTGTGTCCGTGAGCTGTTGCAGACCCCGACGCCGCAGCTGGGTGGCGCAGCCTCCGGGAGAGGGACGCGCCGGGTCGACAGAGTCTGGGACGTGCCGGTCCGATGCAGTTCGGCCGAGGAGTGCGCGGCGGCTGCGAAGAGCGTCCGCGCAGTGCTCCGCAACCTTGGCGTTCCCGCCTCGATGGGCGAGTTGGCCGCATTCCGTGCCGCCACCAATTTGCCTGAGTGCCCTGTCTACCAGCGAGCGCGAATTGCAGAGGACCGATCCAGTTGTCAGTACGAGTTGTACACATGCGACATGATGCCCCCAAGTTCCGAGGAGACTGTTGTTCCAGACGACAAGTTGAAGAAATACATGTGGAAAGTCCCTCAGTTGACGTACCAATGGTTCCTTCTTACCTTCGCAATCGCGTCCCCGTCGTGGCGGCTCTCCAGGCTGGATTGGGAGTCGGCGAATGCACGGTGCTTAGGGGTTCTAGACGTGCTTCTCCCGGACGCGGTAAAAGACTTATTGTGTTTTTTCCCGCTATACGCACGTCTTGCCATACGTGTACGGGACCATCAAATCGAAATGCTTTCCAGGAGGCGCCCGAGGGTACTCCAAGCCGCGGCACTCATGCTTCCGCAAAGTCGTGTCCTTTGCCCGTTGGCCCGCGAGGAAACGATGGCGCTTCATCCACCGCGCCCTCGAAACTGTGCTCCGCGAACACGGCGGAAGCGACGAAGTGTGGTCGGTGAACGATGCCAGTTCGGTGATGTCTAGCCGCGCGCAAGCAGCTTCGGTCGGCACCCACAGACCATGCTGCGCGAGGTGCGGCGGTCAAAAACCAGACTCGGTCGGTCTCGTGGCCGATGCGGGACAATTTTTCGAAGCCGTTCAACCCCGCACAGCAATCCACTCCGTGCGCAGCGTGCTTAACAGGTGCACGCAGGCTACCGGTAAGGATGCTGTGACAGTGCTCCGGACACGCACGCGCCGGGCGTGGATCGGCACGGCTGCCGCATCGGTGAATGACCGGTGGGTCAGGTTCTCTTTCTGTGATCTCTTATTGTCGTTTGCTGCTTGCATGCTGATCCCATTTTGCGCACTCGGAGATGTTATTTTCCGTTTGCAGGGCCTCCCAATCGGTGGAGTCATGTCGAAGGTGGCGGCAAGTGCGGTCCTCGGAGAAGAAGAGCGACGATGGCGTTGCGATGTGGACCGGCGGAGGCGTCTCGGATTCGCGGCCACGTCCCTGGCATGGGATCATGAAGTGGCCCGGGGACGCTACGTCGACGACGTTTTGTGGATCAGCTCGGTCTATTGTTGGCAGTGCATGAGAGACGCTTTGCGCGCCATGTACTCCGTGCCTTTTGACTTCGCAGAAGCATCGCCCGTCGTAGATTGGCTCGATTTGCGTCTTCGTGTGCAAAGCATGGATTGGAGCATGTCGCCAAAACCGTGGGTGCTCCCGCCTTCATGGGGCGCTCGCCGAGGCTACGCACGCAGCCTGCTTGCCGGCCGGCTGCGGCGCTGGGCTGATGCCGGCATGGGTGACGAAGCTTGAGTCGAGGCCGTAGCCAACCTCCTGCTCGGTTTTCGCGACGCGGGTTGGGCGGCGAGGGCGCTGCGGGCGGCGACATTCCAGTGCGCCCACGCCACCCGCCCGCGCCAACAACAATTGTTGTTGCGGGCCATGTCGCGAGTGTGGCAGCGCAGCCGCGCGTGACGCCACAACGTACGCCTGTGCACCGTTGTCCTCTGCCGCGTTTTGGGTACAAAACTGGTGCGAAAGGTAAGGCTCACCCCACTGCGTGCGCGTCCCGCTGCTTTCACCACCCTGTGCCCGTTACCGTACTCCCCATTCCGTGCGATCCTCGAGTGCAGACTCCATGATGCGCCTGCCATGGTTTCTGGCGATGGCGCTCCCGACGCTGGCTCGCGCCGGGAGGGACGGACCCGGCGATGGCGGCCAGTGGACCTCTTCCTCTTCCTGGCGTGGAGGGCGCTGGGACTCCGGCCGCGACTGGGGCCGCGGCAGCAGCAGCGGCGGCGGCGGCGGCATGCATGACCGGCTTGATAGAATGGAAGGCATGATTGAGAAGATGGCGAAGGGGAGCAAAAGCAAGTCCAAGCGCAAGAAGCGCGATTCAAGCAGCTCAGCATCTTCGACGTCATCCTCTTCATCTGGAGGCAAAAAAGGTAAACGCGGCAAAAAAAACAAGAAATATAAGAAAGACAAAAAGGATAAAAAAGACAAAAAAGACAAGAATGACAGCCTGACGGACGCAGAGCGGAAGGAGCTGCAGAGCTTCCGCCGGGAGGCCGAGATCAAGTCCGTCAGGGAAGAAGTGTTGTCCAGCCTCGCAGGCGGGGAGAGCGGCGGCAGCAGCAACAAGCGCAAGAAGGAGGTGATCACGCCGCTCACCCCCAAGACGCTGCGTGCAGTGCGTGCGGAATGCGTGATCTCAGGCAGCGACGGCTCCATCAAGCCGATGCTGTCGACAGACGTGGCTAACTGGGAACAAGCGAGTACGGAGCTTCAGGGTCAGCCGCTGCCAGACGTCAAGAAGCTCTTGACACGGCTGCGGGGCGAGGGCGGCGAGCCCCCGCCGCGGGGACGGGCAGATGTGGTGAATGCCGTGTTGGCGGAGCTGCAGTGCCAGACCGTCTCGTGACTGGAGGTCCAGGCGCCGCATCATGTCTCGGTTGCCCGCCCGTGGGGCGGCCGAGTCGCCGAAGGCGCGGCCTGGGGCCTAGCTGCCTTGTTGGTGGCCTTGCTGGCTGGGTTTGTCTTGGGCGCGGCGACGACCGCCGGGACCGCAACCCAGCCTGTTTGGATGCCGTCGCCTGTCTGGAGGCTCAGCCAATACATGGGCGCTGTCCGCGTCCTTGCCTGGGATGAAAGGGCGTTCTCGGGCTTGATCGAGAATTGGAGCGGAGTGCCCGTTCTGACAGCCACTTCAAGGATCGGCATGCTTACGTGGACATTGTGCCGTGAGGCCTTTCACATGTATAGTGGCGGGCAGTTGCGTCATATACAACGCCCTGCTGTTGCGCATGCGGGCCACATGGACCGCGGCGCCAACCCAGTTTGGACTTCCCCGCAGCGGGCTCTGCGGGCTCTGTGGGAGCAGGAGGGGCCCCGCCGAGAGACGGTCCGGCCCCGGCGTCTCGAATTCGAGCTCGAGGATCTCTAAGGGGTTCTCCTCCGATCCCGCTGTCCCATGCCCCGCCCCTCCCCTCCCCTTCCGCCTTCCTACACCCATGACGCGCCTGATGTGTTTCCCTCCCTCCCCGATTGCAGGAGGGCGCATTCAGGTGCCGAGAGTCTCGTGGGCGGCGCTCGGGGTCAGGAGTCGCACCTTTTTTCGGACCCCCCGGCGGAAACCGTGACCCCCCCCCCAGGGGTATTCCGTGACACATATTACCCGGCAAATCTGTGTGGTCACGGTTTCCACCCTCAGTCTCCCGAGGGGGGGCAGGATTTGTCCGCCCTGCCGGGCGGCATAGTAGACAGCAGTAGCAGAAAGAAGTAAGGGTCACGGTCCAGAGAGAAGCACTGTAGAGAGTCAGCGTCTTGCATGCGATGTAAAGTCAGAGGCAGCACCGAGTCCGTGACAGCAGTTTGGCCCGGGTGGCCGCATTGGCGGCTGGGGAGCGCGCGCAGCAGGTGACGCTTACCTTCGAACCCCGGTCACCACCCAGGCAAATACCGGCAGTGTCGGCGCCATCGCACAGGTGCTAAAAAACATCATTGCACTGCTCGTTACTCTTCGTTCCTCCTCCTCCCTTTCCTCCTCCTTCCCCAGTCTTTCCCTCGCTCTGCCCCCTCACCTCCCCACATCCTGCCCCCCCTTCCCCCCCTTTCCCCCTCCTGCCGGCGGGCCTCGGCGGGGTCGCCAGGTCCGGCCGTGGGAGGAGGCCCTGCGGCCCGGCCTCCCCAGCGGGCTCCGGGAGGGCGCCGGCGGACCTGTCGCGCGGAGAGGCCGAGCCCGCCCGCAGAGGGGGGAATCTCTCTGACACGAGACGGGCACGGCAGGCTGTTTTGACTGCCTACCAGACCACCCAAACCCAACCCGAAACCCAACCACCACTAAACAACCAAACTGCCTGCCAGACCAAGCAAGCCCACCCACTGCTCACCAGACCACCCAAACCTACGGATTCCATGTGTTTTTCAATGTTCCCGACGTCCCCCCTCACTGGGAAGGGAAGGCAAATTGAAGCCTTCGGGATGGGTTGGGGTGATTTGGTTGATGGTGACGTCATTCTATAAGGGGAGGGGGGGGAGGCGTGGCGGGGCCCGAAGCAAACTTTGGAGTTCACGCGATTCGGGACCCGCTTGCGCGCATGCGCGCCTTTTCGGCCCTCCGCGGTGCAGCCCTGGAGGGCGGAACTCTTCGTGGGGAGCTGCCGCAAATGCAACGAGCGAGCAGCCTGGCGAAAGGGTGCGGGCGTTGGCATCGCTGGGCTGAATCCTCCTCCGCCTCCTCCTTCCGTTCCTCTTCCTCGTCCTCGTCCTCGTCCTCGTCCTCGTCCTCGTCCTCCTCCTCGTCCTCCTCCTCCTCCTCCTTCTCCTCCTCCTCATCCCTCCGTCGCCATGTTGGCTCAAGCCAGGTCTGGCTCAGGGTCGCCCGCCCGCCGCTCGCCGCCTCCATTCCTCCCCCCTCCGCGCCCCCACCCCTCCTCCCTAGAGGCATTGCCATGTGGCGCCCGCGGCGGCGCTGATTCCGCCAACGCCACGCCCGCCCGCCCGCCGTGCAGCTCCGCAGTGCGGCGGCCGCAGGACGCAGCGCCCGCTGGCGCGGGCGCCCACCATAGTGCTCGCCTTCAACCTCCTCGCTCCTGGGCTGCGTGGCGCCTGGAGCTGCGCGGAGGCGCGCTGGGCCGCGGCACGCAGCTGCTTCAAAGGCGACGATAGCGGCGAGTAGCCCAGGGGCGGGCATCACACGCATCCCTCCGGAGCCTCGCCTCGGCGCCCCTGGATACGTGTACTGCCCCCCCTCTGGGCAATTCGGCCCTGTCGTCGCCTCCGACTGCTGCGGGCCTCGTGGCCGCCCTGCTATTACTAAAGGGCGAGACGCTGGAGCTGGCCGCACTGGCGAGACGGCGGTGGCGCCGCGGCTGGGGCCCGCGCGCTCCCGCTGGCGCGCCCCGGCCCTGGGATGCGCCCTCTCGCAGGGCCACGGCACCGGAGCCACGACTGCGGCCCGAGGGGTCTGTGGCGGGGCCCCAGCGCGGAGCCGCAGCGGACCTGGCTGCAACGCCCCGCCGGCGGCCGCGCGTTCGCGGCCGTGGAGGGCACAGCGGTAGCGTGCCGCACGCCTCGGCCCCCATCGTTTTCGAGCTCGCCGAGCTCCTGCGACCGCTGCGAGGCCACGGTCGGGAAGCTTTGGGGTGGACAGGTCCACCGCAGGCCCCCCGCTGACGCTCTGGGAATTGTTCTGGCCCGTCGGGTCCAACACGCAAGAAGAGGAACAACAAAACTCCTCCCTCACCTTCCCCCTCTCCGTCATCCTCCTCTTCCTCCTTCTCCTCCTCCTCATGCCCATATAGGCAAGTCCTCTTTGTCAGACCCCCAGACGTGTCCGTAGGGTGGGCTGGGCGTTTTGCTTCAGAATTCCTCAACGCTTACCGTTCATAATCCTGAAACTTAAACTTTGCAACGGCTTCAAGGATAGAGGGCGGGTCCTGTTCAAAATGTGGTCCTCGCCTTAGCAGCGCAAACGATCTTCGTAAAATAATGCAGCCCTTTGACGGAAAGAGGGCGGATGGTGTTCAACCTTTTGCGCTCGCAGCAGCGCCGCTGACATTTATCTGAAAATTTGCAACAGTTTCAAGGATGGAGGGCGGTACCTTCTCAATATGTGGCTTTCGCCATATCGACGCGCACATTCGTCGTAAAGGTGTGCAGCCGTTGCACAGATTCGTGTAAGGCTGCAGTCCAAGGAATGTCGTCTGGCACGTTTCAGAATTGTCAGGACGCAGCGGTCTCTTTGATCCACTGTGTTGAAGTCCACGAGATGGTGTTCTGATACACGATTTAGTACTGCCAAGACGCAACAATTACATTGATTCGCAACGTAATCAACGCAACAATTACCACGCTTCGGAAAGAAATGCGTGTAGGACCCTGGACTGCCAGACGACCACGACGAAATCTGTGCACCGTAGAGAAAGAAATACATTCGCGCAGACTTTGTCCAGCAAATGCACGGCGAAGCCAAACGTGAAGATGGTCACGTTGGTTGTGTTAGCCGTGGTGGCAGAAGGATGCCCAGAAATTGCTCGCACTTCACAGAAACCAAGGTGATCACATCCCCTGATCTACGAGATCCCAAATACCCTGGAATGCTTCTCTCAACGACGAAAATATACGCTGTATATCTGCCTTGAGGATCATCTTGTAACCGACTCGGGGCCTCTTGAAACCTTCTGAAGGACTGCCTGCTGCTTTGCCAGGTTCCAACATGAAAATTGACGCTGTTGATATGATTGTCCTTGTGGGCCGTCCTGTGCCCGCCCTGGATGCACTCTTGGGCCCCTCTTGCGGCCTTCCTGCGACCCCGGTAGGCTCCTAGCCCAGAGCGATCTCGCGTCGTGCGGCCTGGACCACAGCCCCAGGCCATTCGCATTATTGGGCCACCGTGCCCCAATGGGTGGTGGCTCCAGGAAACTGGGCTCACTGACGGAGTACACGTCTGTCGGAAAAAGCAAGTAAAAACATGGAGTAGGAAGGCGGATACAGTGGATTGGGTCCAGGCATTCCCGAAGGATAACAACGCACAGCAAAAGCATGTCGATTATTGAAGTAGTAGAGCGCTTGAAATAGATTGGAATCTGGGAGTCCAGAAATACCTACTTTCAACGACCTACGTGTAAAGGCGCCCCAAAGCCATAATATCTCAAGTCCTCCTGCATCATCGTCCTCCATCCAGCTCCCTTGCACAACCGGTGCAAGCAAGAATGCACTTTTGAATGCGGAGCGGCGGGGACTTCGACTCCGTGAAGAGCTCCACGGTCCTGGTGAGGCGCAAGCAACGGGAACGAACGAATTGGGGAGAGGGAGGGAGGGAGGGAAGAGAAGAGGAATGACAAAAAGGGAGGGTATGAGGGAGGAACCGAACATGGAGGGAAAGGACAAATGGGGGGAGGGAGGGAGGACGGGAAGGGATACGGACAGCAGGGCAGAGAGAGGGAAGAGTGAGGGAAGGAGGACGAGAGGAATGTAGAACAAATACACAAAAAAGACAGAGGGGAGAGGGGGAGGGAAGTCGGGAAGGAGGGAGCAGGGAGACTGCACAATCCAGACGGCGTCCGTCTCGGCAACCGGGGCTCAAAGGGCTCAACTTGCCGTCCGTCAAGCTTCGAGGGCCACGCCAAGAGCGGCACAGACTACTGATGGGCACCCTCCGTGAGCGAACGGGGCTCCACCACCCGTGGAGCGGCTGAGCGAGGACAGGCAGCGGCGTTCCGCGGCCGTGTCCAGCTGAGGCCCTGGGGGAATGCGCCACAGGGCCACTCTCAGCACCGCAGCGCACGGCGGGGAAGCGACGCGGCTCGCGAAGAAGGGAGGCGCACACAATGCGCAGGGGGGGACCGCCCCTACCGGGCGACGCTCAGGCCGCAGCCACCCCAGGGCGCGGATGAGGACTCCAAAGGCGCGCGCCGCACCATAGTGAGCGAGAAGGGGATGAAGGTGAAGCAGAGAGAAAGAGAGAGGGAGATGGAGAGACAAAGAGACCGAAAGAGGGAGGGAGAGATGCAGACAGGATTTTTTGGGGGCAATGCGTACTGCGGGGAACAGACCGTAAACTGGTAGAACTCCTGTCAACTGAGCCACGGTAAATACATGACAAGATAACGAAACAATAGAGAGAGAAAGAGAGAGACAGAGAGTAGCAATTGCACACATACGTGTATATGCATACATATACATAAAGTGAGAGAGCAAAGAGTGGTGAGAAGGATACAGATGTCTGTACGTAACCACGTACATACACACATACATATAGGGGGAGAGAGAAGAGGTAAACCAACGTACGTAACAGAAAAAGGACCGATACACATATGTATATATCGATATATCAATACAGCCACCCTTCGGTTGGCAAGGAGGTTGGGGGTAGGGGAAGCATAAACCAACTGCTGGCAAATGCGATGGCTGTGATGATGACGATGCTGGTGACGTGCCCTCGAGTTAGCGACAACGCGTGATGATCACGTTGCGCTGTGATGTGGTATGTCACTGTCGTCCCCTCTTTCGATCTCACTCCATCGATCCCATTATCGACCTCACAGGATCGACCTCACTATGGATCTCACGATCGCTCTCACTATAGAACTCACTATCGATCACGCTTTCGATCTCACTGTTGATCTCGCTATCGATATCACTATCGATTCCGATCGATCTCACTATCGATCCCAACATCGATCTAACAACAACTGTCACAATCGACCTCACTGTCGATCTCACTTTTGATCTCACGATCACCCCCATTCTAGCAATCTCATTACCGATCTGACTATCAACTTCGCTATCGATACCAATGCGGGACCACGCGGGCGGAGGGGCGCTCCACTGCATCCGAATCGCCCTGACGCCGGGGTCACTCCTCTCACGCGCCCATGCAGCTTCGCCTCACCCGCCCGCACGACACGAACACGACACCGAAACCGATTTCCCGCTTGGGGGCTCTCCGTTCCACTGCGATCTCACCCGCAACTTCCGACAGCAAAGGAGAGGGAGGCAAAGGCAGACATAGCGAGCGAGATACAGAGGGAACGTGAGAGAGAAGGTGGACAAAAAACATGGACGGGACGGAGATGAGGGAGAACACGGGAGAGAGACAAATAGAGAGAGAGAGAGAGAGAGAGAGAATATTCGATACGCACATATACGACCACCCTTTCGGGTGATATGAAGCTCGGAAGGGGGATGGGGAACCGTGGTCTCATTCAGTCGACCACACATCGATCAAACCCTCGATCTCGCAATGGATCCCACTATCGATCTCGCAACCGATCTCACTACGGAAAACACAACAAATGATTTCACGATCGATTGCACCATCGATATCAAGATCGACTCGTCATTCGAACCCACTACCAATATCACAAGCGATCTCGCGATCGATCTCAGAACAGATCTCCTCACCGCTCTCCCAATCGATCGCACCATCGATCTGACACGCGGCTTCACAATCGATCTCGCATGCGGACGCACAATCAATCTCACAACAATTCTCACGACCGGGGTCGCTATCGATCTCACAATCAATATAATCATCGATCTCACTGTCGTCGCACGATCGGTCCCGCAATCGATGTCGAAACAGATTTCATTACAGATCGCATTTTCGACCCCACTATAGATCTCACGAGCGATAGCACAACAAATCTCACTATCGATGGCTCAAACAATTTCATCGACATCTCAAAAGACTGGCAGACACCAGTATCGATCTCACAATCGGACTCACTATCGATTCGACAATCAAGTTTACGATCGATCTCACAAGCAAGCGCGAAATCGACCTCGCAACATAACTCACTATCGATCACCCAATTGACCTTAACATCGGCCAGACAGTGGCACTCACTATCGATCCCGCAATCGATCTCAAAACCAATCTCACCGTCGACCTCACTCACAATCGGTCTCACATTCGTGAATAATGTTTTTGGACCACTTCAATGGCTACGGAATGCGCGCGCCGTTCGATGCAACACACTGGAAGCAAATAGGGCGGACAAATCGTGCCCCCCTTTCACACGACCTACTATTTACATCTGCATTGGGCTCTTGGGAGGTCCATTCCTGTTCACGCCTCCCGAGGGGGTGTGCTCCACACGAGCGCCGGGCACACTCCCGAGACAGAGCCGAGCCAGGCCCAAGCCATTCGAAGTAGACCTCGCGCTCCTAGGGCCAGAAGGTGTTGACCCTCTCGAGGCCCGAAGCCCATCAGTGCGCTGAACCGCTGAACTGTGTCACGATTCAAGAACTTAGTGAGAAGATCTGCGATCATGTCGACGGCGTGCTTCTTCCTAAGAGACATCTTGAAACGGTCCATCGCTTCCTGCGCCCAAAGCCACACAGCGTCGATGTGCTTTGTCTTTCCAAGCCCGCGTCGCGAAACCATGCCTATGGCAGCGGTCGCGTCCACGTTCACAGCGAACTTATACATGATATTCCAATCTACAGGTCACGATCGCAAGCCGCACAACTCGCTCATAAGCGTAACTCGGCTGCAGTACTCGGCTTCGCCACTACTGAGCGCTATGACGGAGAGGCCACGGCACCAATGATGCAAGCAATGCAGACCGGCCATGATCGCGCCTCCTGACGTGCTCTTCCGTGTCCGGAAGCAGCCTGCGTGGTCTGCATCACACCAGCCATCTAACCATGTGAAAGCTTCATGGTTCTTGATGTACTGAACAAGTCTAGGGGCGCCTCGAAGATAGCGTGCAGCATGCTTCAGTAGCGCCACGCGGCGCTCGCACGGGGACTGCGTGCCCTTGGCCCTCTCGCGGACAGCTACACCTAGGTCAGGGCGGTCCTGCGAGACGCAGGCCAATCTCATGCGCGCAGACCGGTACCAAGTACGCTCCTGCTCTGGGACGGCGATGTCCTCCTCCTCCACGGCGTCATGCCGCTCACGGACCCGAGGCGTGGTGTGCTTAGGTGTTACCTCCTCCTGAAGCCAACCCCAATTCGCGAATCGCGATGTCGATGTGTCGTGGGTCACGCTCCCACTCAAGGCCCCCCGTCGTCCATGCCAGGAGACGGTTTAAAGTGCGAGTGCTCTGTACCATATCCGGCTCGCCGGGCGGGCCGAATATGCCCTCCATCTTCACGGTCCACTACTTGCTCAGCTCCTTGAACAGCCAGTAGACGTTGATCCTGGCGGCCAGGCTCACGAAGTTGTCACCGTGGAGCGTCGTCCTGATGTCCTCAGCCGGGCGCCGGAAGATTTGCGGGGAGCTCTGGCCCTGGCGAAAGCCTAAAAAGGCCTCATCTTGGCAGCCACCAGCTTTCCCCACAGGGAGGCGGCATCCCGCGCCCCAAACATGGAACGAAGTAGGTTGCCCACCATGCCCCCTGTGATCCCGCGCGCCCGCCTGTAGTCTTCAGGGGGCTCCGCAAACAGCAACCGCTCGGCCATGGTCCAGAAGTGCGCCTTCTTCACGCCCAAGAACTGCAGCACGCACTGCCCCTCCTTGGCATACACCGCCTCTTTCCGAGGCAGAGCGGGCGCGATCGCAATGCTGAGGGACATCTTTAACGATGCCAGCGGGGGCACTGCAGCAAGATACTGCTCAACAGAACCCTTGTGGCGAATCTCCTTCGCGACGAGCCTATTCCGACCTGGCAGTCGACCTCGTCGCCCTCGTTCACGTCGACCCATCGCGCGCCGATCACTTTATGGCCGGCTTGTCTGGGCACCGCCTCCCAGAGGCCGATTTCGTCGATGAAAGAGATCTCCTCTATCCTCGCCTCCCGGGTCAAATCCCGGGGCAATACCTTGCCCGAGAGATCGCCCCTGAATGGCAAGTCCTCGGGGCAAATGTAGTCGTCGACGTCCCGCTCGCAATGCTTCTTTACTGGTACTGGGCATTCGTCTCCAGACTCGCGGATCTCCATGATCGCGCGCCCCCTCTGGACCTCGACCACGGCGCCGATGGCGCGCTCGACCTCGTCGTCGTCGCCGCCTCCGCCCATGGGCCGAGTCATGAATCCGAGGGCGTCCTCCGCGGCGTCGCCCTCCTCCAGGGCGGCTCGTTTAGCTCGGGGCCCCTGCTCGTTCCCCTCCATCTGGGGCTGCTGAAGCTGGGGCCGCGCCCCCATCCACCTGCATGTTTTGGGGCGCCGGGGGCGGCCGGCTCGAAGACGAAGCCGCGCCCCCTGCAGCCGCTCCAGGAGCAGGTATCCTGGGTCGCCTGCCCGCGCTGTTCTCGACAGGCTGGTCCACGGCAGGCCTCTTCTCGGCTCGCCGCGCTCTCGCAGCCATCAGCAAGCG